ACCAAAATCTGACACAAGGCCCTGCCCAGTTGAGCTATTCATAAGCAGTTCAGACAGACAGATCTTCACTGTTTACCCCCAGTGTTTTCAAGGGATCCAAAGTTCCTCTCTTGGGTATTTGCAAAAGGTTCCACAATTCTAAAGGCAGTTTTCACCTTAATTTCTAGTCCAACAGATCATCAGCTAAAAGGATAAAATGTGTTCTACACATTGCAGAGAACTGCATATTTTCAAGTTGATATTTCATACCTTCTTAAACAGGTGGCATGCAGCTGGATATAGACTTTTCTCTCCTCTACAAAATCAGCACATGTGTCAACTCCTGCAGCCTGCTTTACTTCACAACATACTTTAATCAGCCCAAAAAGGAGTAAAAAAAAAAATAGAAGCAAGTCAACTTGGCAGTGACCAATATATGGGTAAATTTGCAGAGATACCACAGTATCTTCAATTTGCATGGAAAGATTTACAAGTCAAGCATGAATTGGTCCATGAAACTTTGGTCCACACTGGAACTTCTTCTGGAAGGGAATTTGCTTAATATTAAGAAAATTCAGTAAGCTCCCATGCAAACCTGACTACGGCAACCAAGCTCAAATCAAGTTATTTTTGATAGCTCACTTCAATGGAGCCAAACTCACAACATACTAAAGTTACCTATAGAACAAGGATTACATTTTTAATTAAACTACAGCTCTGATTGTATGTGATGCAATAGGCTATGAATAGAATACAAAATGAGGGGGAAAGACCCAGCACAGAGACCCAAAATAAAGGCTTCAAAGCTATTCTCGGTTCTGCAAAGGTACACATTACAGCCTGACTTCCCGCATTCTGTGCTTAGCCTGTTAGGAATGTGGGTGGTGCTGCCTCCTTACAGGGCAATGTTGGGAAGTTTGCACTACAACAAAGGCTGCCAGCTCTGGCTTGGGAAATCCCTGGAGATTTGGGGGTGGTGCCTGGGGAGGGTGGGATTCAGGGAGGGAGCCCAGAAGGGATTGTGAGGCCACAGAGTCAGCCACTGCCTCCGGGGGAACTGATCCGTGCCCTGTGCAAATCAACGGGAGAACGGATAGTGCGACTTCACACTCCATTCCAATCCTGTAAGAATGATTTCATTTGTTCAAAAATCTCTGTATTAAAAAGGCATTGCCAAGTCATGTTTGATGTGAAACATATTTGTAGATCTAAATGGACCTGCATATTCAAGACATGTGGACACTATATTTGTGCCAGGGAAGCCATATATAAGGTTTCCTGGCACATATATGTTGCATTAATTTTATCATGTGTCTGTCATGTAGAAGTTTTGTATGATGGCCTAGCATAAAGGATAATCTGTTAAACAGAATAGTTCTGTATTCTATGCAAGAAAGTAGCATTCTAAAAACAGGAATATACCAGTATCTGGCATAAGCTGGTGAAAGCAAGCACAATTATAAAGATTTTTAAGAAAAATATAGTGGGGGAGGGGGTGGGAGATAAACATTCCATTTCTGGCTTTCTAACTGAGCTGACAAATACAGACATCCAAAAAAGCCAGCTGTTCTCTTTCATCTGTTTGAAGTACAGCTGGAATATTGCCCACAGAGCCTCCACCAAAATACTTTCTTTGAAAGCAGCTTGCGAATTGTCTTTCAAGGGAGTAATCTTTTGTACATCAAAAATGTGACAGGGAGCTGCTGCCACCTAATGGTCATATCCTGTAGAGCTTTGCATTGCATATACACTTGGGTCCCTAATACAAGCTATAAAAAGCAGAAAGAATAGAAACCAGACAAAGTGATTATAGCAACATATATCACTGTATGTAAATGAAGCAGCCAAAACACTGCTACAATATATACCAATTCAACATAACACTGTTCTGTAACTAAAGCATCAATTGTCAATTTTAAACTGTTAATGGGACTCTGTGGATTATGGACACATTTTCAAAACTTGTCATAACAATTCCTGGTGATTTCTTCATATATCAGTTCTAATGTCTGAGTAGCTATTGGAGGCTACTGAATCTGAAATAACTTCATTATTTATACACCCCCCCCCAAAAAAAAAAAAATTATTTCAGTCTTAAATCCTTCAAAGTCACTCACTCAAAAAATAATCCAGTTTTCAGAGATGTAGAGCTGCTGCTAAGATAAAATTTTAAATTCCAAATATAATATCACTGAGGTTAAATTTGGTTATTTCCACAGACGTAAATATCATATAGATAGTGTGATCATCACTTTAAAAAGGCAAGTCTAATGGTCCAAATGTTACAAATCCAAAAAGCAATGTTGTATACTGGAGTTGGGATGTAAACCTACTTACAAAATTTGTTTGTTAGGTAAAAGAACCCCAGTGCTCTGGATATAACAACAATAATGTTCTATGGAATCACAACCTTGCAGAATAACTTTCTCAAAAGCTAGAATATTTGAATTATTGGCAATAAGAATATATCTAGTTAGATCTAATGTTACAAAAACTTCCTATAGTAGATTCATCGACTTGATTAAAACCACCAAATTGGTTTAAAGATGTCACCTTCTCTAGTTTTAACAGTATTAACATGCTGAAATGTTTTTATTTTGTAAAGGATCCTGTTCCAGACTCAGAGCTCCATGTTCTGTGGAACTGCTGTATTGTCACAGTCTTTTGGCTTATTTTTTTAATACTCTTACATGTATGTCTTTATGACCATTTTGTCTGGTTGTTGTTATAGCTGCACGTATCTTAACCATGTCTTGACAAAAATAAACAGAAGTTTTCTGACTCCTAAAAGTTTTTATTCTACTGTAACACCCCACTTTGATACGCTTACTGAGACTTCATTAGGGAGATTGGACTGCATATGAAATTATAGAACAGTAATTGTAAAGAGCAGGGTAATAGGGCCATGAAATGTGAGTATATAGGGTGAAATGTGGTTATGTAAAATTCAGATTAATCAAGAAAACTACAGGAAATTGATTAGTTACAAGAACATTGATGGTATCTTTCAGACACAATTGTTAACTATTTTGGGGCACTAGCACAACAAGCAACACGGTGATCTACACTGGATGGGGGTCCAATAGTGGCACACTCTACCTTTTCTCAGCTGCATAGTTTTCCCACTGCAGCTATAAGGCTGGAAACCTGTTTTCAAAAACAGCCAGGATTCTGGGAATTCTTATTATAACATTTACTTTATGGTGTATGATTTTCTAGATTCTCTGAAAGTAAATAAAACTAGGTAGGTAGTGGGGATTGAACATAAATGAAGACTTCAGTTGGTGTAGAACACCACATCTCAGTTCTTACCAGGAGCAAGGCAGAGCATGCATATTACTCCTGTTCTGTACGTTACCATATTCAGGGTATTGGCTGTCACATGGCCTTGGTTCCTCATATCTGCAGGACCACTTCTCCCCCTATGCTCTGCAATGACAACTTCAGAATAAAGTTGGAGTCCAGTGGCACCTTTAAGACCAACAAAGTTTAATTCTGGGTATAAGCTTTCCTGTGCATGCACAGTTCATCAGATACACTGAAAGCTTCCATCGAGCCTGACATATGGGGGGGGGGGGTTAGTTGCCAGGCAGGGCTATTTAGAGTCAAGACGCATAAGAAACTGAGCAATAAGTATAGCTGAGATTGGATTAAAACAGTTGGTAAGACCTGTGAATGGCAGCAAATTAGCATACAACTTCAAGAGTTAACAAACAGATGTGAGAACTGAGTCTGAGTCCAGTGGCACCTCCAAGACCAACAAAGTTCAATTCTGGGTATAAGCGAGAACTGAGAGACTTGGCAATGTGTAGATGCAGACTTCTTCAGATACACTGAAACAGATTTCCTCAAGTGTTACATATAGGGTCTGGTCACACGGACATTTAGTGCGGGACTCGCAGCTGATCTCTCCCGCAGTAAAGGTTCCTGTCTATATAGGCATACCCGCTTCCCGCTCCGAAGCCGGCAGATTCCCGCGGTTTCAGCTCTTTCACCCGCGTTTTTTTGACACCCGTTGGAGCAGGTGTTTTCGAACATCTCGCACTTTGTATCCGCGGTTTTGGTATCTGGACAGCAATCCGCAGTGACCACGCTACCCTCCCCCCCGTTTTTTTGGGGGTTTTTTGTTTCCAGTTTTAGTTATGCGCTTGTGCAAACAGGCGCTAGCTTTTATTTTGGTCTTTTCCAGCTGTCAAACGAGCAAAAAAACCTCCCGAGCACAGGCAGAGCTGGGAACTTTGTTCGGGAAGGATGCGTTAAGTACAACTAAGATTGGAATAATGCAGTTGTAAAGTCTGTGAACAGCAGTAAATTAGCATACTGATAATAAAAGAGTTCACACCTGATGTGAGAATTAAGTTTGAGTCCAGGGCGTTTTGCAGGTGCCACCCTGCAAATGGGTGAAATCAACAACTGCATTCTCTGTTGTGGCTCCCCACCTTGTGGAATTGCCTGCCCAAGGAGGTCAGGAAGGCGTCCACTCTCCTGGCTTTCTGCAAACTATGCTAGACTGTATTCAGGAGGGCTTTTTATAGAGATAGGGCTGTACTGTAACAAAATGGCTCCGATAGATTCAGGTGGGTAGCCATGTTAGTCTGAAGCAGCAGAACAAAGTTTGAGTCCAGTGGCACCTTTATAACCAATGAAGTTTTATTCACGGTGTAAGCTTTTGTGTGCACGCACACCTCTTCAGATAATGGTTCAGAGTTATGCTTTGGTAAAGGGTTAGGGCCTGTGGACTATACTATTGGGTATCGTTTGTACTGTCTGTTACTGTAAGTAAGCTCCGTTTGCATTTCTGCTTGCATCCAGATTTCTGCAGTCCACATCCTATTGCACTGTTTATTGGATGATCCATTCTGTTGATTATATTGACTTACACTGTGTAATCTACCTTCAGTGAGAAAGGTGGACTATAAATAACATAAATAAAATAAAAATGGTCTCAGATTGCTTCAAGGGCTGCAGGAAAAGGGGAACTTCCAAAATCCATCTATTTAAAATACTGTTTATTTGTGATTTAATATTAATTAGCATTACATCTATGAGCAATTTCCAACAACATTTATATATTTTTCCACAGGACACAGAGTTGGCTGGCTCATTCTTTATGCCAAGCAAGTAAATAGAGGCATTAGCAAAAAAGGTGCAAATAGTTCATGGTTGCATTTTTAAAAAAATATTTATGCACACTGCATTCATTTAGATATTTTTTTAAAAAGTTATGAAAAGCATAGTTCACAGGTTACTGTTTCTACATATGTTGTAATACAACACAAAGAATGTAGAACAAAAGTTAAGCAACTTAGAAATTTCCACTGTTTTTTAAAAAAAGAACACACTGATTCCAGTATTTTGAGATATCTAGAATATTGTTTCCAGAGTCACTCCAGCGCTGCATTGTCACACTTACACAGTCAAAGCTAACCAGCCCTGTAACATGCTATAGTCAATTTTTGCATGCCAAACCACGCCTGAGCCATACTTAACAATCTATATACGGTATATATTTCACTTGGCAATTTGGGAGTCACATTGATATTTGATGTGTATTTGCTCTTGTGGCTAATGACATACAAAGGCCCTAGGTTAATTTCCTTGTTTCGCGCATATTTACAGGTTTATTTTTTAAAAGCCCAAACCAAAAATTACCATCAAAAAAAGGAGAAAGTGGCATGATCAGCACTTACAGTGCAAGCATAATTGGTTCTAACATTCATCAACAAAGCAAAACTCACGATAAAAACGATCTTATTAAAATCAATTGCAATGTGGGGGGGGGGGAGTTGTGGCACTCCATGTGAAATGCTATACATTACTTTTATAATTTTAAATATGAAACTGTTGTTCCATTGATTTCATAAAAATACCCCAAATCCATACCATATATTTTATGAAAAATAACCCACACACTAATACAGCCTTTATCTCCACCCCTTTTTCTTTCAATTTCACTTTCCCTTTTGCAGTTTTGTCTCCTTCATTTGGTTATGGGCCTTTCCAGGTGATAAGTTTATACTGCAACACATCCTGTTGCACTGGATCCAGACTTCAGTCCTCCAGGAAGCACGTCTGTTGTGGGGATACTGCATTCTCCCTCCACTGTAATGACAACACTGGTTCTCTGGGACAATGTAATTCTTTCCCCAGTTAGAGGGGCCACTGCAGTGTGGAGTGGCTGTCTGGAATGTGGTTGCATAAATGTCACAGGCACAGGTACTGCCTGCAACAGAATTGATGAAGAGCAGCAAAAGTATTCCCTCCATGCCTTGCCAAGCTGTGCCAGCACTCAGCTTCCAAAAAGGGAAATCACATGGGAGCTGAACTGGAACATCAAAGCAAAGGGTGGAAAAAAACCCCTTGTTGGTTTCAGCTCTGGCCAGCTAGTCCCTCAAGACTTTGCCTTGAAGCTTTATAGCTGAATTAACTGCAGAGCCCACAAAGGCTAAAATGCAGCTGGGACGTGCTTTGAACTGATCTCCTGAAAAGGCCCCACGTTAACAAGATTATTTTTCTTCATTCAATAGCAATACCACAAGGAAAAAATAGAGTGAGATTTAAATCTGAATCCAGTTAAACTTGCATGTTTTCCACATCTGGTATCAGAGCTTCTGGATTCCTGAATTATATTTAAGTATACTCTACAACCAAGCATCCTTAATAATCTCTATGGTTAAAATACTTGGTTTACATGCCTATAATACTTTATACTGAGTGGTATACAAAAGTTTCAACATATAAAATTCTTTTTTCTCTTTTGCCATAGTTAAACTAAGTTATCAATGTTAAGTGTATAAAACCCCCTTTATTGAAAAATAAGGGCTTTCTCTCTGCCCCCCAACTGATAGAATAAAAAAAGTTTTCAAAAATTATACCTTACTAAAATGAAGTATTTGGCAAAAGTTATTGGTGATGAATGCAATCTGTAAAATTCCAAATGCAATTCCTTTTACAGTTTCCCCCCTCTAATATTATGTGCCAGTGCATAATAATTATAGACGACCAACTCTTGACAAGGTGTGGTAAGAAGTGCCCTCCACAGTGGGGCCAAAACATAGGCTATGGTCATATCACAATACCAAGAAGTATCATCCAATTACTCAATGAGGCAGTAGATTAAACAAACATTATATGATAACTCAACAGCTACCTTAGTGAAACTGTACTGAAGATTTTCTACTCCAGAAAATTTTCCAGGAGTAACTTGCTACTGCAAAGGAGTATGTATTATAATAGTGCTGTACTAGAACCCCTGGCAATGTCAGTTTATGGTGGAATATTCAATATTTCAAACCCTCAAAGTGATTTTATTCATACTAATCGAGAGATGAATTCTTTGCTTAATTGACATAAAGTGGTCTAGTTTCTTCCAGTTCTGTTCTTAGGTTAAGGCCCAGTTTACTACACAACCCTACCTAAACTGACCATGTTAATGGCTGATTAAAATGTGGGTTTGAAATGTGCAATGTAGCCTTAGAGTGAGTTGTACTTAGGCTTCCGCCTTTTCCTTCTTTTTGCTCTTTTTCAGGAAAGATGGAGTACGGAATTTCTTCTTTTTCTTTGATGGTGATTTGGAAGGAGACCCCTCAGGGGAAAGGGCCTCCTCAATCTTTTCAGAAGTTTTAATGGTAATCTCAACATTCTCTACAGTACTAGTGGTTAATTGGCTGACTCTTTGTGCGAGATCCTCTTCCACGTCATGTTCATCTTCCTTGCCATTCATCACCACACTTGGAACATCTAGAGAGATGAGGGTAGAATCCTGAAGATAATCATAATGATTTTCTAGAGAAAAAAGGAGGACAGAAGAAGTTTCACTCTTTGCAGTACTGATGATTATACTGCAATTCAAACTCCTTGACAGCCAGTAAAGCTGGATATCTGAGACTGGCCTACCTACCACTCCTCACTCCCAATTTCCACTTTTTTTGCTGAAGCAAGAATCTCATTTGTGAGGGTTAGTAGGTATCAGACATCAGCAGACAATGTTTTCAACAGTCAAACTGTACTTCTGATTAGAATGTGATGCAATCAAAATTGTAACACAGCTACATTGTGGCCTGTTATACTAATCTGCCACCACGAGTCAATATAGATGGATAGTGCTGGGAAAGAAACACGGATGCTTTTTCCAAAAGTGAAAAATTGGGGCATGGACAGTAGATCAACATGATGTTAGAAATGTTTCTAAGTAAACAGTTCAGAAAGATCCAAAATCTAATAATTCATACTGGGTGGATATCGGGTCCTTAGGTTTTGATAAATCCCAAAGTATTTTTTTAAAAGATGTGACAGCAAAATGAGTTCTAGCTTCCACATCCTGACAAAGGAGGAAAACTTCATTTTCCTTCCTTAATCAAAGAAATTTAAAAATAATTGGTATAAGGCTCATAATATTGTACAGGACATTACAGTGAATACCTTCTAATTTGTCAGGGACATTTTGCGGGGACTGAGTTTGAGAGTGTATTTGTGAAACAGATGACCCGTCATCTGAGAATAATTCCTGTTCCGCATCTGTAGAACAAGAGTTTGAGTTAGTAAAAGCCATGCAAAGTAAACTAAACAGAAAGAGGATTGATGTACATTAGTGCATACAACACAAGCAACTCTGCTAGCACTGACCTGGTCATGCTCATGTCACTACACAGAGTTATATTCTATTAGTAACCTACAATTTTGAAATGCATAAAATGCCAAAAACGGCCTAAGCTATTTAGAAGAAAGCATTCCATGCAAACATATTTTTGTTTAACCATGAAACTGTTATAACAGAAAACAAAAAGAAAAATCTATGCAGCATTAGTTCTGGAAACACTAATGTTAGACAACAGCAAGGAAGGCAGCATTATAAAAGGACCCTGATCAGATGCTTTTTAATGAAGATGGGTGGAAAGACTGTTGAAATGTAGTATTTTTACCTTTGAATCTTTATGCTTTCAAAAATAAGAAATGGGCAAGTTAGAATATTACTAGCCATAATATTACGACGGTGGGCAATAGAAAAGACTATCGCCAAAATGTATGGCTTAAGAAATGATTTAAAGTTTCTTACCTTTTACCTTTGCTGATTATACCGCTGAACAAACTCTGTAATAATTTCTACTTTTTAAAAGGGCCAAATTAGACATTATCTCAGGAGACCCAAAGAAAGATCTTCCCAGCATTTTTGAAAGGCAAATTGCAATATAAGGACCTTCAATTCATATGTGGCTTGAAGCATGAGAAGAAAGGGTTTAACTCCTTCCCCCCAGCAATTTTGCATATTGAAACTGGTCTTACTGTCCCTGGAAGAAGAAGAAGAAAAAAGACAGGCAAAAAGAAGGGCGCCTGTCTAACTGATAGAATTGTGCAGAGGAAGCCTTAACCAAAATTGGAGCCTGCTGCAATGGCTGCAATGTACCTTTTGAACATGCTGGGTAGAGCCACTGACAGATCTTCCAGTTTGGCCACAACAATTTTATAGTGGTTTATAGGAATACATCCAAAAGCAATACAACTGTACAGTAGGCACAACTAAATTACAATCTCCCTTCCCCTCTGAACTATAAAATGTAACAAGTTAGCATGCTGTATGAGATTAAATATAAAGGATAAAAATGACACGCTAGATAGCAGTTAGGGGGCAGATTGGGTCAAGCCTTTTATTTATTTATTTTAAAGAATGGCAAAATAGGGATATTATTTGAAACACAATAGAGAAGAAGCCACAGGAGAATGACAGGTTGAGAATTTATTGGAGGGTGGCAAAGGAAATTGCATCTAGGACCTGAGAGGGGATAGGATCAAGTTACATGTAGTAGCATTAGATGACTACCACTGGGTTGGTCCCTTATCTAGAAATACTGTGGAGAAGAAGGGGGTACGAGAAATATGCTAGAGAACAACCTTAATTTTGTCATTAAATAAGTACAGAATGTATGTGTGTGTGTGTGTGTGTGTGTACGTGTGCAAACGGCAAATATCAGGCGTTAGAATACATGAATGCACTATTTACACATTGACCACACAGATAGTCCAGATAATTCTTTTAAGAGGTTTCACTTATGGCTGGTTCTCTGAAGTTATATTATGACAAATACCATGGTAGAAATCTTTGAAACTAAAGAACCAGCTGATGAACATGGCCTCAAAAATCAATATGCTTGGAGCTACAAGTCACACCTGTCCTTTTCAGTACTTAACCCAAGTAGATTTTGGGGTTCTGTAAGGTTCAAGACTCTTCTGGTTACAATGCAAAAGAAGCTGGTGCTGGAAAATCAGGATATTGGGTCTTTGCATGGATTACATTCTGGCAAAACCCTTAAACCAATGTCTCAGGACCTTTGCACACCATTACCAACTTACTGCAGAGAGAAATTAACAAGTGAACTGGGCAACATCAGGTGTTTATTTTGAATGTGCTGTAGCTTAGAACTCATTGCTTTTCCTCCAGGGATGTGTGTGCACATACTTAAGACATACTGGGACAGGAGTTCCCCGAGCACATAATTAAATAAACAGGACTTTTAAAGGCAAAATTACTGATGTAGCTGATGTTTGGGAATTTAAAACACTCAAAATCAAACTCAGTCCTCCTCAACATAAACTTTTGATGGAAGTAGTGAGGTGACCAGAACACTAACCCTCAACTCCTTGTTGTTTGCGTTCGATTGTCCGCTTGTATTCTTCCAGTTCCTTTTCTGTGAGATGGCTGAACGGGTTGGGAGGGGCAGGTGGGGCATGCTCATCTTCTTCAAATTGCATGGGCTGGAAGAGGGAAAATTTTTAAAGTGCAAAAGGGAGTTACAAAAACAAAACACAAACACCTCCCCTTCCTACAGTTGGCAATAACATCCTGCGAAACAAGAACCTGAAAGAGTGAAGCAGTTAAACAATCCATAAGACACCATTTCTTTCAGTGAATAGGAAATGGGTTATTGAACACATGCAGGGATCCCTTATCAACACAAAATGCCAACTTTAGACAGACTGGGACTGAGAGGGGCTTTAACCTGACTCTGGCTGCATCACTGTACCACATACACACATTGCTCTTGTAGGACTACAGCAATCATTCACAACTGCATAGTTATAAGGTTATTTTCCCTAATATTTGTATGAAACCTACTTGTTTGCTTGGTGGCTAAAATGAAAGCAGTGGCACAGTCCCATTTAATTCAAAAAGCTACGTAAACACAATGAATGCTTCCCTGGTTTTTTTAGAAGTTGTATAATCAGTACTCTCTTTTAAGTATCTGTATCCTATTTCTGAATTGAAGAGACTGATGAAAGCAAGGAGATGCATTTGCGCGAGTCAGAAACCTTAAACTTGAACATGTTTCAAAAGGTAAGCATTCATCTCTAACCATGGCTACACTTACAGTACTTGGCTTCTTATCCACAACAATTCCAGCAAGCAACTGAGACTGTGGTCCTGCAGTCTTTAAGTCATACCGGTTTTGCTCCCGAATCTGGAGAGTGAAAAGCAAAAGGATTTTTAAAACTTCCAATGTCTCTGTTCAACCAAGTTTATCCACATGGATTAGGAATTCCAGACCTGTTGCGGTGAGACTCATTAACAAACCAAATAATGTCTCAACCATCATCTGTTTTGCCAGTTCACTTCTATTCTGGTTGCTCTAAAATTTGAAGTGCTTACAAATCCTTAAAAACAACAATATGAAGTCTTCTAAACTTTGTACTTTAACATGCATTTGGGAACAGAACTTAACTTTTATGCCTTTTTCATGTGGAACTTTTGATCTGCCTTGGCTTCCTCATAGGAGCAGTGTTTTCAGGAGCATCCACATATTGTCCTCTATTCATCTGGGCTGACATGCCTCCCTCCACTTCATTGCAATCTTTCCAAAATCTGTTTTGGCACAAACTTTTTGGAAAGTGCCTTTGGACACTGTACCTGGGAAAAGTGTCCATTTTTTGCAGGTTCCACCTGCAGAGGCACTATTTTCCTTGCCTCAGCCCCTGTGACTCCCTCCCCAGCACTGCTGGGTTTTTTAAAAATTGGGAATTGCTACCTCACAATAGTATTATAACATAGTCCCCAGCATTCATTTGAAACAAGTAAGTCTCTAGCTCTTTTTGTTGTGAACTTATGACACATATAAGTGTGCAGATCTTTTTAAAAATAAAAACCAGGAACTAATACATTGTTACAATAGATCACTGTTACATTGTAACACTATAGTGATCTGTCAAATTACCAATTTTAAAAGAAGAAAGCCTTCCACAGGAGGGAAAGGAAATGAATGCTCTGCTGCCACTGCAAACAGCTCTGCATTTGCAGCAGCAATGAGAGTTACTCAGAGAATCACCTTTGTGTGGAAGCAGTCCTGGTGTGATTAGTCTTACTTCCAGCACACGTTGGATACAGATTGCCTAGTAAGTTTGGTAGAACACTGAGACCACTTTGCCAGTCCTTGTACTAGTGTCTCTGCAGAGCCTGTAGCTTGTTGCAGCTTCAGCCTTAATTCCAGGCACTGCTATAAGCCAACAGTTCTTATCCTCTTTCGTGAAGTACAGTCCTGCTGACTCTGTTGCTAATGCAGCTCTTCTAGATCAAGACACAACCTCTGTAATTACACCATTTTCCTGACTTCTATTGCAGCTGACTTCCCAGGCTATAAGCTATATGGCACGCACATCTAGTGACATCTTAAAGCTCTAACTGAAAAACAACTTCCCACTTTGAGACTGTAAATGCCTGAAAAAGCTGCATGCCTAGAACTGACGATATTGCCTGGGCGACAGTGGTATGTCGATCCTTTCCTAGGAAAGGAGCAATCTCTTCTGAATCAAATTGACTCCCCAAGAATAGTGGTGTAGCCTTTTGACCACTAGTAGATACAAACTAAGAAATTCCCAGAATTTCTGGATGAAACACTGTGCATCTGGCAGAACAATCCAAGGGTGGGGTCAGAACTGGCATGAGCATTAAAGAATGCACTGGGGAGAAAAAGCAGTCTGAGGCTAGCTTTACAAAGAAGCTCTTGTCATTCTTCCTCATTGCTTTGTTGCCTCATTGCCTGGGTCAATGGGAACGGAACAGGCAAACAAAACTAAAAACGAACAAAAATCCCTGCAAAATGGCATCATGCTAAAAACAGCCAAGGAAGAAACCCGTACCTTAATGACTTGTTTTATAATCAGAATAAGCATTTTCTCTGGAGAATTTAAAATGAATAGCATTATCCAAAACAAGCTCAGATAATTTTTAAACAAGATTACTTTCAGCCTACCAATTTCAGGCTAAACTGAAGAAAACCTGTATTATATTTTAGGTAGTACTAAACAAGTTTTTAAAGAAATGTGTCAACTTCTCAGACAAGCAGGATAAATTAATTACTGACCTTGTAAGAAAAAAGCAGTGTACCTCTTCATGAAACCTGTCTTACCTTATTCCTCTTTTCCAGCACATCACTTGGATTTGTATTCATAGGAACAAACTGGTTTGGATCTTCTATTTTTATTGGAGTTCCACTGTTAACCTTAGATGAATCTTCAGCTTTTATCCACTTGAGAAAGAAGAAAAAAATCATTTAAATGCTACAGGAAAAAAGGTGATTGTATTTAGGGGAAGAAACATGGTTGAAGAAAGGAGCAGAGAGCTTCTGGGCAATGGGGTTAATATTTAGTTATGCAGATAGTACTTAGGCAAGCTTACTTTCTCAGCACATAAATATCACGAGAATATTAATTCAGTGCAAAATTTCTGTCCTTCAATCAATTTTTGGTATTTTTACCTTAGTATCTGAAAAGTTCTGAAATTTTCTCAAAGAAACAAAAATATTTATTAAACATTGGTATTATCTCCATTAAAAATATTATACCACCAAAAGCAACAAATTTCTTAATTCACTATAATGATGAAGCTCCCTTCCAACTATAGGTTTTTTGAATTGTACCTTTTAATGTAGGTCTTTTCATTAGGCTACTCACTAAGAACTGCTGATAAAAATTAAAAGCAGATATGAATCGTTCAACAACCAGAAGGTGGAGCTGTTCTTTTGAAGTTCAGGTTATGATCTGGGAAACTATTTGACAACTAATTTGCATATAACACGACCAATCACAGTGTGTCCCTCTCCTCATCTTTACTCCCATCTCTTGAGCCACATATAAAAATAATTTATTTATTTATATTTATTTATTTATTCAATTTATACCCCACCCTATCCCAAACATGGATTCAGGGCAGCTTACAACATGTAGTAAAACAATAAAACAGTAAAAGCAATAAACAATCGATGGCACAATAAACAATATCATCAAACCCCATGCCTCATATCAGGTGAATACAGGTGCTTCAGTGCCCAATAATATTATCTGTCAGCAGGCACTGGGAGAGGGGCCATAAACAGGGGAGGCCAGAATGGCTGAACATCCACTGCCTAGCAGAGCAGCTCCATTTTGTTTGCAGCTACTGCAATGAGGGAGCTGCGGTGGCTCAAGTGGTTAAGATGCTGAACTGCAGGCTGTGGAAGGTCAGTAGTTCAGCAGTTTGAGACCCAAGTTGCCGCATGATGGAGTGAGCTCCCGTCTCTAGTTCCAGCTTCTGCCAACGTAGCACTTCGAAAGCAAGAAATTGCAAGTAGATAAATAGGTACCACTTCAGTGGGAAGGTAACAGCGTTCCGTGCGCCTTGGTGTTTAGTCATGCTGGCCACATGACCACGGAAGCGTTTTTGGACAGCGCTGGCTCTCCGGCTTTGAAACGGAGATGACCACCGCAACCCTAGAGTCAGACTCGACTGGCTTTCGAGCAAGGGAACCTTTACCTTTACCTTTTTACTGCAATGAGGGACAGGGTGAGGAAAAGTATGTGGAATTATTCAAATAATCAATTCAAAATTTACACCTACTCAATATTAGTTCTGATCACCCCTTTTCAAAGATGACATAACATTTATGTGTTATGGATTCGGGGAAGGAAAATCTTGCTGCATAGGGAAGCTGGCAGGAATTCATGGTGGTATGAGACCCCACCCTTTTCAAAATTAAGGCAGGATACTACACGCCCCAGTGCACAAGAGGGTGCATACTGAACCTGCAAACAAGAGCCTTAGACTGGGATTGAAACTGATTAACTATGCTGTGATCACACAGTGTTAGAAAAACAAAAAAAATAATTTCCTGATTCCAGAAATTACAGCACACAGTAGTACAAATTAACCACGATCGAAACCAGCCAATCTGCCTAAAAAAAGCTATCATTAGATGATCCATACAAGGTCCCCTGATAAAAATAAGAATGTGACTCAATCTTTAGCTGACCCCCTAGATTTAATCACCTACTCTCTGATTAGTAAGAAGCCACGTGATCCAAGCCCAACAAGAGGGGAAATCCCTATTCCTCTTGAGCCGAAATTATAATGAATTCAGGGAATACCCCCAAGTTGCCAGCACTAGATACTTCAATAGCTAAAAACCGAGTAACTGGGACTTGTGGACTTCATATTATGAGTTGGAATAGAGCTGGCTGGGCCTCGAGAGTTTGTTGTAAAGATACCAAAGCTTTTATGGCTCCTTTTGATATTTTACGTCTTCAGGAGACCAGGTTAATGGACGAACCTATCTTTCCTGGTTATCTTACTCTCTATCAAAGAGCAGTTATAGGTTCAAGGGGGGAAGGCCACGGGGGGGGGGGAACTTGTTTAATTTCAACTAGCTTGAATATAGGACCTTGCTACCTCCTGGTGGGAGATGATCTGATTATTGCTTTTTTATTGAAGTTGGATGATATGACAGTTATCCTCTCCTCTATTTACATTCCTCCATCCGCTTCTATATATATAAAATAAAGTCCCCTCACCGTAAAATCAATGCCCAGGTCAAACCGCTGGAGCTAGAAACACCAAATTTGGGGAGAGTGCTCCTATCATGACGTAGATGCTCACTAAGAAGGGATTTTTAGAAATTTGACCCCTAAGTGGGTAAAAAGGGGTAAAATGTGCTCCCCCCATTGATTCCTATGTGGCTCCCAGGCTGCTGCCTCGTTGCACCCCCCACTCTCTGATTGGTCAGCTGCAAGCTCAGTGTTCTGAGGTTAAAAAAAATAGTTACAGGGGACTGCAGAGAGCTAATGACAGTTGAGGAAATCAGGAGTTGCCAACCGCCTGTGTTGTGAAGCAAAGCTGCTGGCCCAGCCTCTCTGATGGCTTCCAACACACTCCCCCCACCTCCTACACCTAACAGGCAGTTGTTTGTCAGGTGCAGCAGTGGTTGCAGGGTGCTTAAAGCCATGAGGGAGCCTGCCCCAGCAGTAACGCCTTAGTGATCCTGCTAGCACCGCCTCCACAGTGGCTTCTAAAACTCCATCAGTATTATAACTGGATTTATGGAACTTAAATACCATAGCGAAGCATGGGTATCAGGCTAGTCTAGTATAATGATTAAGAGATGGGACCGCTGGGAAAAACTGTCGATGACTTGCAGGCTCATTTTTCAAGGGGGCCCCTAGTACAAGCAGGGGACTTTAATGCAAGTATCGGCAGTAACAATTATACACTCTTCTCTAAACTATTAGGCCCTGATAATGATTAATTTTTCAGCCCTACTTGGCATAATAGGAAATCTAAGGATGATGTAATAAACAGAGGTGTTTTGGAGCGGGCTAAATTTGTGATTTAGAGAAACTTTATTCCATTGAATGGTTACTCAGAGGTAGATGGAGCCGGGGATTTCACTTACATGAGTCCCAAAGGAGCCAATGTAATAGCTTATAACCTAGCCCCTCTTGAATATCTTTCCCACTTGAGTTCCTAAAAGCTGGCAATTACATGGGAAGTGATCATCTCCCAGTCTCCTTTTCTATAGATTTATCTTTAGAACATTACCCTATTCCAGCACACAGCTTCCCTCTTTCTCAAAATCAAAATAAAGCTTGTTGATTACTTTGGAGCTCTGAGTCTAGTGACAAGGCTTGAACCATAATAGGTTCTATCCCTTGTAATATTCTTATTAACAGGGTTTTACAGTCTGATTCAGTGCTGAACTGTTTGCATCATTTGGATGAGGTAGTAAAATTGTTCAGACCCTTTCACGTGAAAAAGAATCTTGACAGGACACCCTTCGAAGTTAAGAGGAATAGTTGGTTTAATAGTGACTGTAAAAGAATGAAAAGGTGGATTCAACAGAAGCAATGTGAGTTCAAAAGTAACTGTACAATATCAGCCCTTCGAGAGCGGATAGAACTGAAGAAAACGCACAGAGAACTGACCAAAACGAAGAGATGGATGGCCCTCAATGAGGAATGGGGATATCTCATTTCAGCTATTAATAACAATGATAATAAGGCCTTCTGGTCTATCATCAATACCCAGGCTCTAAAGTCCCATGCTGTATTGCTCCTCTGACATGGGAAAACTATTTCAAGAAGCTATACTCTGATGCTAGTGCCAGTACACCTAGTACATCCTTTATTATTCCTCTTGATGTAACAGCATCTTGATCCAAGGTATCAATTAAGGGGGTCATTTGCCTTATCAACGGATTAAAACTAGGATAAGCCCCAGGCTCTGATCTAATCCCTAACGAGCTATTTAAGGCTGATCCACAATGGTGGGTCACAGTTCTGGCCCCAATTTTCACTCAAATTAACATCAATGGACAAATACCCGAATTATGGAAACATTCTATTATTGTTCCAATATTTTAAAAAGGGTCCAGAAGTGATCCATCCTGTTATCAACTAATCAGCCTTCTTTCTTCTTTAAGAAAGCTATATTCTGCTGATCTACTAAAGAAGCTCCTGGATTGGATGGAATCGGAAACCTTATTGGGACATGATAGATAGGATTTATGCAGGGTTCTTTGACATGAGACCATTGCCCAGTTCTTTATCACCTGGCTGAGAAATACTCATCTTTTAAGGGGGGGCATCTATATGTGGCTTTTATTGACCTCAAGGGGGCCTTCAATTCTATAAATCGCCCCAGATTGTGGAACAAACTTAAACTACAATGGACAAAAGACTCATAGGACTCATTCAACTATTATATTCAGGTTCGACTGCCCAAGTATAATGTGGGTATGATGGGAATTTAACAAATCCATTTAATTTGGAAAAGGAAGTACAACAGAGATGCTTGTTGGTGCCTTTTTTGTTTAATTTATATTTAAATCATGTAGCAAGAATCTTTAATGACTGCTGCCACCCACCAAAAGTAGCTGAGATTGGGGTGCCTTTTTTGCTCTATGCAGATGCCGCTGCGATTTTGTCCCAAACTAGAGTTGGGCTGCAAAGGATCTTGCAATCTGTTTCTAATTACTGCTCTCCGGAAAACCTGGTGATTAATTATTCAAAATCTAAGATCCTAGTTTTCACCAAGACCAGAAAACAGAAACTGTCTCAATGGTTTTTCAGTGGTTTAAAATCAAGAAGCCAAGACTTTCTCCTATTTGGGGATTTTGTTTTCAGCAGATCTGTCTTGGACCCCTTAGAAAAGTACTTAATAAAGCTAAACTATGCACAAGTACCATAAATGTGTTCTTCCATAATAAGGGGGGGATATAAGGGGGGGTATATTTCTGGAGCGGTGCAAATTTTTAATTTGAAAGTGGTTCCCCTCATCCTTTATGGAGCAGCTATTTGGATTAAAGCTACCTCTGATAACATAGATCAACCCTTACCCCAATTTTTAAGGAAAATACTGAATATTCCCTGTTGTGTGTCAAATGTTGTATTGCATGCAGAATTTGGACAGATATCCTCGGAAGTCAGAGCACGGCTTTATGCCTTTAAACTGAGATTTAAAAAGCTCTGTGCCAAAGATGGTTAGTTAGCCACTCTAAATCAAGAGACCCACAAATTGACTTGGATGAAAGCCCTGGATGAGAAACTGATGACAGTTGGAATGTCGATTAATGATATTTTTGAGATGGACAAATCCAAAGCATTTTCTCTGATCAAAAAGCATGTCCTAGAAATCAATTATAGTATGATCCTGAGAGCCCACAGAGTTTGCTCACCCCTGTCTTTTGGTCTTTCCCAAGATCTTTACCCCCCTTGTGTACTATCTTACCATCGCACATTACAATAGAGCTTTTTTGTTTGCAAGATTGAATATTATTCCTACAATGGTTTTACAGGGGAGATTTTTTGAATAGGCCCTATTCTGACAGAATCTGCCCTTGTGGCCTTGACAGGATAGATACACCCGTCTATGCCCTGCTTGAATGCAGGTTCTTTGAGAATATAAGGGATCACTATATTAAGCCTTTAATCAACCAACCGTCCCTCTACACTCTGGAAACCCTGGCTCTTTTGCTCAACGATAAGGATCCTAAGTTTACTCTAGCAACTGCAAAATTTGTCTCAGTCCTTTTAGCCTTTGCATCAAAAGAATAAGACGCAAGAATCTTCTGCTGCTCAAGATCTGTGAATCAATGAGCTTCTAAGGGTTTGAAAGGAAAGGAGAAAAAATAACTGCATAGCAACAGACAGATATGTCTGAAGTAGATACGTTTGTGCAACAGCAGCATATTTCTGGAAATACTTTAAACGTGAAAAGGGGAAAACGTTTTGAGAGAATATATGCAGCGGGATGGTGTTCACAATCCTGGGGGCTTCACAATCGGGTAAAGCAGTTTTAGTAGAAGCAAGAATGCTATTTGCACAGGGAGCAGAGTGATATATAAGATTTATTTCTCTTTTTACATTTTAGAAATGAAGATCAGAAAAGCTAGGCTTATTGCCAAATGGTGCAGTCCACACTTACTCCTGCTTTGTTTCCTAGGTAAGCTTTCTCTTGTGGCCTAGTTTGCATTAAGATGTGTATGCTCCACAATTACACAATCAAGCCAAATCCAAATCAACATCAATAAAACAGGAAAGCAGTATACAAGAGTATTAACAAATAAACTACATAAGCAGCAAGATCCAAAACATTTCCAAGAGAGCAAAACTAGCAAAGAACCAGCAAGCTTTTTTTCACACACACAGAGAGAAAATAAATAAAGACAGAAGGCAAGGAGTTAAAAATCTGACAACAAAAAGGACAACAAAACCATAAAATATCTATAAAGGAAAGGAAGAGGAAGAGCAGAAAGAGAAGAAAAATCATCTGAAGGCCTGGGCAAGCTAGAATACGTTCACCTAGTGGCAGGGGCTCTCAACCAAAGATCAACTTTTTGGGCATGCAGGTTCCTTTGAAATTCTGACATAGAGCGGGGGTGGAACTCTAAAATGGCTGCCGCTAGAGGTGCAACCAACCACAAAATGGTTGGTGTAGACAGAAACAACCCCAAAATGTCATAACTCTACTAGTAACCCTCAACATTTCAGGCAAAAGCTCTGCTCAACAGAATGCCTTTAAAAATGAACATACTGTTATAAAATATTTTCTTGCATATATACAGCTCATCTTCAGTGACGTAGTGAAGATCCTTGTGCTGTGATGTCAACAACTGCCAAAGCAACATTTTAAAAATCCTGCACAGCCAATCAGCTCTCTAATGGCTAATTAGAAGCCCTGGTGGTCCAAAAGCACCATCTGGCTCCAGGTACTTTCTAAAAATACTTGGCAGGTGCCAGAAAAGGCGTCAAAGGATACCATGATGCTCATGGGTGCCACATTGGGGACCCTTTCTCTAAACACACAGCAGCAGGTGAATTCCTGGGGGAGAACATTCCACATCTAACGTGCCACAACTAAGAAGGTCTCAGCTCATATAACATTCTGCCTAACCTCAGAAAATGTGAGAAGATGGTGCAGGGTTCTCTCAGTTGACAAGAGCATATCTATGAGAGAGCCCTTGAAATATCCTGGCCCTAAACAATTTAGCCTTAAAAGTAATAATCAGCTTTTAAAAAATGGTCTGTGAGCAAACTGGCACCCAGTATAGATGTCTCCATACTGAAAAATGTACTCCTTGTGTTTTGCACCAATTACAGCATCCGAATGGTCTTCAAAAGGCATCCCCATTAAAAGTGCATTACAATAATGTAACCTGGGTGAAACCAAAGCATGAGTAGCTGGCTGTGTCTTTCCTGTCAAAGAAGGGATGACGATATGAGAAATGCTGTGTATGACAGAGGAGATCTCTGCTTCCATCTGCAGCCCTGGTTCTAATAGCACTCCCAAGCTGTGAATTTGTGCTTTGAAGAGACGCACTACTCTGACCACAACAGGTTGACTCCTAAAGCTCTGACCACATCACCAATGACCAATAGTATCTTCATGGTACTGGTAATTCTACTAAATGAACAACATAAATTGCATCCTTTTTAACTTAGTCAGCATATAAAATTGTACTACTTTGCCTATTTATGGAATTTAAAAGTATAAATAACTTCATTTTCCATACAAAAAATTAATGGGCTACCCAATATTAAAAAATGAGTTACATACCGCAGCACCCTATGCTACACATTTATGTTTGCATATGTATCTTTATTTTTTGTCATCTGAGTGTTTTAAAAAAAAAGTTGAAAATAGAAAACAGATTTCTGTAGTAAACAAAATGAAGTGTATTCTGTGGCCAGAATCTCTCTCTCAGAATTACAATATGTAGGACTGCCAGCTTATTTGAGCATTGAGCTCTACTTTATAACACCAAAAACAATGAATTCCTTCATAATGTATTATTATTAAACATATTATAGTATATGAATTCCTGCAAACATTATTGACATTTAAACAAAAAAAATCTTGAAAATACTGTATATGTCTACAATATAAGAGGTTTTTTCCCCCACTGTTCCCCCAAATTTCCCATTTTTCCATTTGAAAAACAAAAGAAGTTCTCAGAGTTCTTCATGTTTTATATTTGGAATGAGTGGGATGCTTTGTAAGACAAGGATTTTCCCACTCATAGGAAGTTCTCTACCCTATTTTTTCTTCAGAAAAACTGAAAGAAGACCTAAGGGGGGGGGAGGGCCCCCCCATTTTTCCAGGCCATCGTACCTCTACCCAAAGCGTTAATTTCCACTACTGATCTTACAAACAGGAGCGGAACCACCAGGATACAGTGTCCTCACTATGCACCTTATTTATTTATTTACTCAATTTATATCCCACCCTCCCCACCGAGGCAGGCTCAGGGCGGCTTACATAAAAATGTAAAATGCATAAAACAACACATAAAACCTCATAATTTATCATACAATTATAACAGATGTAAAGTGCTAAGGTGCTAGAGCTAAATTAGATGGTAATAATAACATTATAAAATTAGGTAGCAGTCACAGCAGGATGTGTTGGTTTGTCAAAAGGGATAGACAGTGTTGGAATTCAGCATCTCCTCTGATTTTGCTGGCAGGCACAGGCTGCTGATGGAATGTCCAGGGGGCGGGCCTAAACACAGTACAGTTGTTATGCAGCTCCTAATTAAAAGCCTGGTGGAAGAGCTCTATCTTGCAGGCCCTGTGAAACTGTGAGAGGTCCCGCAGGGCCCTGATGTCTTCAGGGAGCTCATTCCATAAGTATGGAGCCACTACTGAGAAGGCCCTGGCCCTGGTTGAGGCCAGTCTGGCCTCTTTAGGACCAGGGAGGGCCAAACGATTTTGGAGCCCTGAACACAGTGCTCTCTGAGGAACATGTGGGGAAAGGTGGTCCCTCAGGTATGCCAGTCCCTGACGATATAGGGCTTTAAAGGTAAGAACCAGCACCTTGAAGTGAATTCGGTATGCTATTGGCAGTCAGTGCAATGCTTTTAGCACAGGTTGGATGTGTTCCCATCAAGATCCTGGCTGCAGCATTTTACACTAGCTGTAGCTTCCGGATTCATGCCAAGGGCAGCCCCATGTACACTGCATTACAGTAGTCCTTCACTAATGGCCTCAATCAAGAGATCCAGGAGAATCAACAGAGTTGCACTCCACTGTTACTCCCATAACAGGACATCCATCAAGGTGACCAAGGCAGAGTCTATGAAGACAGCTTGGAGTGTATTGCTTAGGGTTGCCAGGTCTGTCCTAGCAACCAGCAGGGGAATGGGGAAGACCCAACCTCCCTTGCCCCAGTCTTATTGCCCAAATTTACATACATTCAAAAAACAGACCAAAGATCCCTAGTCCTGGGATATGGAAGTACACTTGTGAAGGAACATTCACATGTACCACAACTTACCCTGGTAAGCTATCTGTGTCTTCCTGCTTATTGGCCACTGGATCCAGCATTTTAAGACCCAAATGAGATTCTTTTCAGAACAGATTTTACAACTGCTTCCTTCAAAGCAATTGACACTATCTCCTCCTTTAAAAAATGCATTGATAAATTTCAGGACTCCAATAACTCCCTCTGGCTAGCTCTAACCAGACAAGTTGGGCAAAGGGCATTAAAACAATCCTTCATGGAGCACACGTAATTTCAGAATAGCCCTGTTCCTTCATTTTTTTTAGGACTCTGCATACCTATCTGTTGAAACTACTTACTGTGGTTTTAGTCCGGGGACTGGTTTCTCCATTTCGGGATTCTTCAGGAACATCCACTTTCAAATATGAGTTTGGGGAGTTCAACCATCTTGTCTTCTCCCGCTGCTGTTTCTGTGCTAGGAATTTGAGAGGGGAAATTGGGACTGAATCATCCTCAAAGGAAAAGGCAGTCACGGTGGCTGGAATCTCAACATCACTCTTGTGTCTGGGTTTCTCCCGCACTAAAGGCTGCCGATAAGCATAGCCAGTTCTGTAGCCCTGTGTAAGAGGGAAAAAAATTTCAGTTTATACTAAAAGCTTGTGCTGTTTTTCAACAACTGAAAACTACTCATTTAAAGTGAATCATAGACTATTTTTAGACAAAAACGTCAACAAAGCACCACATGAGAAAAATCCAGCTAAACTACATGTAGCACTACCTTAATCCTTGCTGCTAAATGCCAAACAAAAAGGAGATGTTAGTGGAGTGGGTTTTGACCCCACTTCTTCTTGAAGAAGATATATAGTATGTGGGGTGGACAGCAAGTGATACCACCAACTATACACTATCACTGATGAATAGATAGAAGCTCTAGAACAATCTTACAGCATAGACCAAGGAAAAGGGGTAAGAAAACATACAAAAAAAAGGTTGCCAGTATTCAGGGAAAGGCAAAGTTCAACATATAAAAAGAAATAGAAAAGGGGTAGAGAGTTTGTAGTATCATCTTTGTAAATCCCAAACTGTTACCTCAGCTAAATATCTTTTGATTTTTCAGAACACGATGTAGCCTAGTATTGACGGTTCTCATTTATGACAGAGGTTCTTCACCAACTGATCCAATCTTTTGATGGTGAAAAAGATAAAATCCAGTCTGACAGTCAGGGGCACTGAACAGATCATACCTGCCATGCATAGAAAGCACTTTGGTGTACAAAACCCTCAGCATGTACACTCCTACGTACAGCATGTACGTAGTTTGTACTATGTACAAACCAACCTGTACACAGGTTTCTTGTTTTATCTCCACGTAAGTGCAGTATCACATGTAAAAAGTGGTCCTCAGTGGAAAAAATGAGGAAGAAAAATATATTTGTATCAGAAGCAGGAGCCTGAAGAAAATAACTGTTGTTCATCGACGTCTTCTGTCCAGGCACACATTGGAACTGCGCTTGAGCAGGCTGGCCATGGGACATTTTCTTTCACGCTCAAAAACTCCAGAGGGGTTGCCCGGCCCCTTACAGAGCTGATGCATGGGCAGGATTCCCGCCCAACACGTCACGTGGTCTGTTGGCAGGTGCCCCCTTCCCTCAGTTCCTACTAAGTCGCCGCAAGCCCCCTTCTATGGCACAATAGGCCCTGTGAGAGCTCACAGGAGGGCAGGAGGGAGGTAATGTGTGCCTGCACAGAAGACATTGATGAAGAACAGTTACAGGTAAGTGCAACTCTGTTTTTGTCTTCCATCTTCTCATGCAGCCCCAAATTGGGACCATTGGCAAGCTATTCACCAGAGGAGGGAACAGAGCCTGTAGAATAGCTTTGCCCACATCTGCTTCTTTCTTCACCTGAAGGTCTAAGCGTAGTGCTTCACAAATGTGTCCCTCTGTTGAGCAGGTTGCTGCCTTGCAGATGTCCAGCAGGGGAACTCGTTGATGAAATGCAGCAGATGACCACTGCCCTTCGGGTGGAGTGTGCTTTCACATCAAGCAGACACGGCTCCCCAGATGCCATGTAGCAGGAACAGATGGCAGCAACTACCCATCTGGACATGGACTGGGCTGAAGCAGCTTTGACCTTCTTGGAGCCCCAATAACAAATAAATAGTGTTTTTTTTACAAAATGGTTTGGTTCTATCTATGTAGTAAAGGAGGGCCCTCCTAACATCAAAGGTATGTAGGGCCTTTCCTGCTTCGAAGCTCGGAGTGGGGGAAAACACCAGCAGGACAATTCCTTGGAAACTACCTTAGGCAGGAAGTCTAGATTCAGGTGCAATACGACCCACTCACTGAATAGCTTGAGAAAAGGAGGATCAACCCTGAGTGCCACCAGTTCAGACTCTTCTGGCTGAGGTGATAGCCACTACAGACGCTACCTTCCTTGAGAGTAAATCTAAGGAGCAGGAGGCTAGAGGCTCAAAGGGTTGTTTCATCAGTCATGCTAACACTAAGGGCAATCACCACTGTGGGACAATAAGGGGTATAGGAGGGGAAACACTGGACAGCCCCTTTAAAAAGCACTGAGCCAATTTATGAGCAAAAACAGTACTCCCCCGCACCTCCTCATGAAAATGAGGCTGCTAGGTGGGTCTTCAATGAAGACACTGCTAAACCGGCCTGCGCTAATGACAACAGGTATTCTAAAACGAATGATAATGGGCAGGTAAAAGGGCATTCACCTCTAGCAGACATCCAGGACTCAAATCAAGTCCACTTCCTGTCATTAGAATATCTGGTTGAAGGTTTATGGGCTTGAAACAAGATATCTATTGGGAGAAGGAGTACCCTATGGCCAGATCCTCCACACTGTCAAGTGTAGCCGTGCTACATCGTACTGCAACAATGGACTGTGCATCAGCAGGTCTGGGACGGGAGGGAACAGTATGTAATCCATGCCCACTAAGCTTAACAGTTCTGAGAACCAGATCTGGTGGGGCCAGAAGGGAGCTACTAGGACACAATCCATCTGATCGGCCACCATCTTCCCTGTAATCTTGTTTAGGAGAGGGAAGGGAGGGGACGCATAAAAGAGTGTGCCTGACCAACAGATCTGGAATGCGTCTCCCAGGAAAGTCAGATTCCTTCCCACTAGAGAGCAGAATTCTGGTGTTATCTTGGACTTGGCTGTGGCAAACAAGTCTACCTGAGGATATCCCCAGGTGTTGAAAATTGCCTTGATGTATCTGTGCTGGACAGACCATTCGTAGTTTGTCTAATAGACCCTACTCAGGTTGTATGCTTCTGTATTTGAAGCCCTTGCTATGTGGATGGCCCTGGGAAGGGCTCCAATGCTCATAGCTATTTCCCAAGCTGCTATTGCCTCTAAGCAAAGCCTCCAGGAATCCATGCCTCCTTGTTTGTTGAAATACTATACTGTTGCAGTGTTGTCCATCTGGATCAGCACCCTCTTGCCTCTGAGAATATCTGAAAAGGAGGTAAATCTTACTGCACAAAGTAGCTCCCTTTCGGATGCAGACGATGACTGGCCTGACATCCCTGTGGGACAATTGGTACCCCCAGAATCAGGAACTTCCTTATCTTGGCAACCAGTGGGCCCCCCTCAGCATTCTTACTGTATGTCACCATCCCATTAAAATAGATGGGCTGGAGTTTTTCAGCTAGAAAGAATATGTCCCCTGGCTGGCCTGCGCAAGCGCAGTTCCAATGTGGGGCTGCACAAGAAGATGGAAGATGAACTGCCTCTTTTATGATAGCTTCTAAGGAAGTGATCTGAGGAATGGCACAGCTGTTATACCAGCAATTGACAGCGGCCAAACATATACTAAATGTTGGATAAAATTTATTTCAGGTTGTCAGAAAAAAAACATGGGATTTCTTTATGACACAAACAAGTAGAGGAAAGAAATTCACAGAACCTGCAGATTAGACTTGTGCACCCACCAGGTTGTCCAGCATCCTCATTAGTGCTTCAAACTCTTGTTCTCCAACTTTCCATTTGAACTGAGAAGCCATATTAACTCCTCCTCCTCCGGCTGCTGCCACGTGGTGTGTGAAAGGTTTATATTTCTGCAAGTCTAGGATAAGAAGATTGTCTACGCCACCTGCTCCAGCCAAGGCATGCACCTGTAACATAAATTACTCAGTAAATTGTTGTCCAGTATTAGTCAAAGACTGAAAGGTAGCCTTCCTAAATTTTCTAGAAACGGTCATTTTTATTTTCATCTTAATACATTAACATGCCCCAAAATGATCCCTATTTTGTATGCTGCAACATCAACTAAATAGTGGGGAAAGCTCTGAGTCACAGTTCTATGCTGTGTATGGGAGGTACCACACTACTGTCCTGTAAATGCTAAATAGCAGCAGTAATACAAAACTTGCTTCTAACTCATAAATTATTGTCAAATAATTGCTATTAATATTAAACATCCTGTTAGGAAAACAGGAAGAATACATCACATTTATATAGCGCTTCATAGACATCTCTCTTACCTGTGTTTCACAAGCTATTTGTACATTGTAGATGTAGTGGAAGGCTTCCTCTAATGTCTCTCCTAGAGCTACTACCCCATGGTTTCTCAAGACCAGCACCTAACAATGAGACACTAAGAATAAGTGGCAAAACCAGGGAAAATACTAGAAATCTTCAACAAAAATACTGATAAGAGCAGCATACCTTACAGCTTGGTCCAAGAACTTTCTGGAGTTGAATCCTCTCTTCCTGTTCATCCAGAGAGCCTTGGTAATTGTAATAGGCAACATCTCCTAGAATCAGAGCCTCTTGAGTTATAGGAAGGATGCCACACTTCATAGAAGAAACCTGTTTCAAAGAAATTACATTTAGAGGATGGAAGAAATTAGAAAAAAATGTTTAAGATCTCAGACAAATCTTAAAGTACTTGCTCTGTTAATTTCATTACTAGCTATCCAGTCTAGTATAGCAATAATCCCTAAACAGTGGAACAGAACTCAGTCAAAAGGTTTGCAGAAGCTTTATGGATGAGCTACTACCAGACTGACTTTGAAACAAATACAGCACATGAGAGCCATGGCTATAGAACTAAAAAATCTGAGAGTTTGTTTGGTTTTAAGCAAATGCATTTTCTGGATCTTCACGATGAAAACTTTGGAAGCTCTGCAAAGAGGAATGCTCTACACAGGGCATTTTAGAGCAAGAACATAGACATTGGGCTCACTGTTTGAGCAACAGAAACAACTTAACACACACACACCCTCCAATTAAAGACTAGTCAGACAAAATGGCCTGATCTAGATTTTGTGGTATGAACTTCATCTTCTTTATCAACTTGCTGCTAAATGACCACACATAGCACAAAATCAAAATTAGCTTATTTTGTGTTTGACTAATCAAAAGCTACATGGCTAAATATAGGCCAAATCATGGTTGAACGTGCACAATCTTGGGAAGGATACTCCTTATATAGTTATACTTCCATTGCTGGCTGTCCTGTTTAGTATATTACACAAATTGTGGTTTATAAAATTTGCTTTGATTGGAGGCAGACTCCTAAAGAAATAAAACAGCATGACTGTGGTATAAGCACTTCCATTTAATTGAAATGAACCCTGAGATGGCTCAACCCAAGGGTAACATTTTTTATTTTTTATTTATATTCTGATTTATATCCCGTCCTACCCCACCAGAGCAGGGAATTAATCCCATGTTTGTACCATTAGAAAGTACATGAGAACATGGTAAATATATAGTTGAAAATGTAGCTCACCAAAATTTGGTATAAATGTGCCACCTCAGTCAAACACTACTGTCTTGCTAGATGCTTAAGGAATCACAACCTAAGTCATTTCCAAAAAAGAACGTAAGACATGATATGTTTTGGATCCATGATGGATACTGAAGCTTTTTCTGCTTTCTACCATGTTAAGAAAAACAGACTTACAGCTGCTGTTGCTGGAGTGTGTACATGGATCACACATCGAACATCAGGACGCATGGAGTAGATGGCTGCATGAGGACTGAATCCTGTACTGTCAATGTTTAGGTTGGTGCACCCCTGGTCAACTACGTCTCCTATGATATTTACTTTTACCTGAAAAGACAAGCCAGCTCTAATAAGGGCTAATAAACTGAAACTTAATCCCGACAAAACAGAGGTACTAGTGGTGGTGGTGGTGGTTACCCAGGAATTTAGATATCTCCTGTTCTGGATAAGGTTGCACTCCCCCTAAAGGACAAAGTTTGTAGCTTGGAATGCTGCTGGACCTGGGCATTCTGTTGGATGAACAGGTGGCCGGGGTGCCTTTCACCAGCTTTGGCGGGTGAGCCATCTATGGCCCTTCCCGGGCAGGAAAGATCTTGCAACTGTGACACATACTGTGGTAACTTCTAGATTAGATTATTGCAGTTTACTGTACATGGAGCTGTCCTTGAAGACCATCCAAAAGCTACAGTTGTTACAGAACAATGCAGCCAAAATGCTGACTGGAGTGGGTTGTAGGAATCACATCATTGTAGTCTTCTTCTACCTACACCAGCTCTCAATTTGCTTCTGAACCCAATCTAGGTGCTCGTGTTGATCTTTAAAGTCCTACATGGCTTGAGGCCAGCATAATTAAAAGAGTGCCTACAGCCATATGAACCTACCCATCCACTCTGGTCATCTTTGGAGGCCCTGCTTCAGGTGCCCCTTTGATCTGAGGCTTGAGAGGTGGCAACCCAAGAAAGGGTCTTCTTGGTCACGGTGCTGAAATGTTGGCACTCCCTGTCTCCCTTTATTATTGTCTTCCACCAGCAGGTAAAGACGCAGAAATAATTTGTAAGGACGTCTGACTTGTCTTCATTTTATTTGTAGCATTAAGAGTAGCTAAGTTAATATACACTGCTCAAAGATCTTGGATGAACAGAGTGCTCTGAAAGTGCTCTGGAATCTGGAAATAATGCAACTAGTGTTTTACTAGACTGCTCTATAAAACAAAAGATTTGGGACACATTTCCTCCACACTCAAAATTGTATACTGGGCCAAATAAACCAAAAATGTGAACTAACAAGCCAACAAAATTATATGTTTCTGTAAAGCGCATACCAAATTGGAGGCAGAAGCTTCAGAAAATGACAGGCCTTTTGGAATGATAAGAATGTGATCATGTTCTTTGCTTACTCTTACCTGTAAACAAAATAGGAAAAGATTACTGATATACTAGCCAAAAGTATGTTTAATCCTAGGAAAACATATGTAATCTATGGGGCTGAAAGTATAAATGTGCCTTGGAACACAATATGAACAAATGATAAACACTGGATACTTACTGTGATATATGAATTAGCCAAGTGTGCCCATCCAAATAAATCAGTCAGCCTATACAAGCTGGCTAATTTACAACGAGTAAGTTTTTCGCCCTTCACAAATGCAGTGGTGTCTATCCCAGGTAAGTCATTGATGGGTGTAACCATTCCAAGGCCTAAAGTAGTTTCAACAAATGAATAAACAACAAGATAGCAACTTTCTCTCCAAAGGAAAAATATAGATCTCAATTTAAAATTGATCTAGAAATTGCTAACATGATCATGATTTCAAATACCTTCCCTACCATTGCTTGAGATACAGCAAACACATGAACATATAAAGCTGCCATACTGAATCTAACAACATCAGTATTGGCTACTCTGACAGCTGCTCTCCAGAGTAGAAGTCTTTCACACCACTAACTACCTTATCCTTCTTTAACTGAGGATCCCAGGGACTGAATCTGAGGCCTTCAGCATGCATATCAGATGATCTACCATTAAGCCATGCCCATTTCCTCCACTCACTTTCTGACTTTAGAGGAAGATAGGCAGAACCAAGTAGATGATGTCGGCAATTGCCTTGAAACCTTACTTACATCTGAACTCCACAACTACAAAGTGCTTCACAAATCCACTTTTTCTTGGCCCATTTAACATTTTCCTGTTATCTTTATTAACAAATAATTCAAGACAATCAAAAGGCATAAATAAAGAAATAAAAAAGTAAAAGAACCATTGCCTTAATTACAGCAAAACTGGTCCTGGAAAGTGCACTGCCCCCTAGCCCCTCCACTGCGGGTAGAAAAAGGAGCAAAAGATGTCTCTCTTGCTGTCCTCACAATAAACTGGCTGTGCCCAGCCCTGTGCAGAGCAGCAGCTGCTGCTATTAGGGAACTGGGTGCCCTGGCCCCATGCAGGGCATGTAAGCTGACACTGGTCACCTGCCCTGTATAGGCCCCATGTAACCAGTTAACTCATGGCAGCTCACCCTACCAACATGGGGCCGGAGTACCCAGCTCACTCACCGCTGCAGCAGCTCACTCACCTCATATAGGGTGAGGGCTGTTGGTGTATCATAGTGGTAGCTACAAGGGCTGCTGGTTCACCCTAGTGGTAGCTATGAAGATCACCCCTTACTCGGCCGGGGGAGGTGGCTTTTGTCAGTGGCCTTAAGACCAAGATGCCCCTGGCCTTAATAAATACATGGGGGACAATTCTTACTGAATAGAACAGTAGACCTATTACACATATGTCTGGGATCATGGGGACCAGAAATCTGAAAAAGCAAAAGTGGGAGTCACAGGATTTTGCTGAATTAACCACTCCAAAGCTTAAAATAGAATGGGCTTCATAAGCTGCTTCTTCCCTTGTCTGATCACCAACTGAATAAATACAAGTTCTCCGTAAAGGAAGAGCTGTCCTTTTTGCTGTCTGCTATTTTAGCTATGAAAAAGAAACACTAATTGCTTACGATGTTTTACTTACTTAAAGGAGATGAAGAAAACCCTGCAAAAGAACTCGCCATAATGTAATCGGCAATCTGTTGTAATGCAAGCAGTCCAGTTGGGTTATTGCCTTTCTTCATCTGTTCATGTATAAGAGATTCCAGGTCTTCCCGAAAAGCCTGAAAAAATATTATATCACTGAGCATACCTTCTAACAGAATCAGGCACTTGTCTCCATTTTACTACCAAGATACTTTTTACTTCAAGATCAAAACATACTGGAATCTGAATCTATTTGGAGGAGATGGAGATCACAGGTGGTATAGGTCTCAAATGGGTTGCCCAAGAATTGGGCAAGGATAAACTGAAGATCCCATGAGGGTGTTACTGGAGAGTGAAGCATCATTGCACTCCTGAAAACTGTTTCTCCAGAGGCTGGTTGAAGAACATATGACCTTGGGAATACAGGCTGTGAAACTGAGATAGCAGCTAGTTAAATGGACCCTAAGAGATGAATGTGCCAAATCTAGTTAATATAAGTGGAGCATACACTCTAGGATAGAAGTCACTGCACAAGTGAATGGGTACTATCCTGTCTTGGAGCAAAGGTGGTAAAGCACCTCCACTTATACTCAAAGGACTATCTAGTGGATAGCTTTCTGGCACTCAGAAATACCTCTTTCAGGGCATGCCATGCAGAAGTTGATGGAATTTGTTATTCTGTTACCTTACATTGGTGCTTCTCACTTTTCTTGACACTAGGAGAAAGAGCATGATGCTTTTGAGGCTTGTTTTTTTGTGTTGGCTCAGCACTAGAGGGCTGGTTTATCCTTCTGGCGACCCAGTGTCAAGGAACACAGGATAAACAGAATGGGCATTGAGATGGAAAGAAAAGACACCAAAGCACATGTTTTGACTGATTGATCCTGATCCTTCAACCATCCCCGCACAGACTGAGAGGGCATACTCCCAGAGGGTAGCAGCAGGGTAGACTGATTGTGCCTTGTTGGCTTTAGACAGCGGGTGCAAGTCTACAATGTATGTTGCTCTCCCAAACACAGGAGACACCAGTCATGGATGTCAGTTTAAAGTAGTTGCCCTTTACACTGAGAACACTTTCTGAAGGCTAGTCTTTTGTGGTACTCCACCTTTCTTACCTCTTCAGTTTTCACCATTGTTCCTATCCTCCTTTAGTAGTTTCTGTGGTGTTCCAGCACCTGTGGCACAAAAGACTACTACAGGATAGGAAAGTGTTGAAAACTGACCCAAAACACATTAGCTGAATTGGCCCCAGTGGCATTATATGCCCCTTCAGAGGGGCTACACATTCACTGAGTGCTTGCAAGTGCAGTTCCCCCTTTGGAAATAATGCCCCTGGTGCATTATTCACTGTGGAAAACCAGCACTGGGGAAGGCAGGCCCCCCACTATGGTCCTGACCCGAGTCAGATGCAGGCCCATGAAACAGGGAGCTGGAGTAGATGGACTTACTGGTCTGACCTAGGAAGGCACCTATTATGCTCTTACCATCCGAAATGGGGGACTTCTGCCATAGACATCTATGGCCTAATGAAGATGAAGGAAATCTTGAACAGTGAGTGCAGATCTCTGTGTGCAACACCTTCCCAGCTATCCAGATCTCACTCAACCACACCTTGCCCCTGTGTTTCACTTCAGTATGCATCACATTGTATCATACATTATTCCACAACAGAATGTGCAAGCATCTCTATCTTTCTATAGGAAGAGCACCAAAAAAAATTCTACTTGGTTACTGCAAACATGCTTATTTGCACGTTATTAATGTTTCCTAGAAAACACCTCCAATTTAGAGGTACGTCTGGCTCAAGGATAACTGTGCATAAACACCATGCTTCTCTCTGTTGTAATTCATTGTGGGGATTCCAAGAAACTTTCAGAGACAGATGCATGTGCTGCTATAAATTGAAGTTAGAAACAAACAGCTCTGTGAACTCAGTAACTAGGTGCTCTATCTCTACTTTTGCTTCCATCTATTTGCTTTAGACCCACGTTTTCTGATGGTCTGTCTGGTTACACATCCAGTGCTAGCACCCTGCCTCATCCATACCCAGAAGGGTGCAAGGGCAGATGCTAGGTACACTACAAATCTCTTACATCAGAGCTCACCATCTCTGAGGCTTTGTTCTTGGGAGACATGGACTATGTTCTGGACATGAAGTTATACTGCATGAATGCTAATATTCTGCTGCACAGTTCTGACTACAACATGGGAATTTTAAAATACATTCTAAACAGATTATATGTGAACACTACAGCATTAACTAATATTGTACGAAATCACAAATAAGGGGAAAATAAAATGGACAATTCTGTTGGAATGATTTAGGTTTTAACTATCTTGACACCAATATTATCAAACTGCTAGATCATTCATTCTAAATCTGGAAGAAGAATGTAATGGTTAGGGCAGAGATGTCAAACTCATTTGTTATAAGGGCCAGATCGGACATAAATGTCACTTTGTTGGGCCATGCCGTGTGTGCCAAAGTGTAATGCCAGGTACCAGAGATATAAACTATATAAAGGACAGCAGCTGATAAACTCTGAGTTGATGTATCCTCACTGAAAGGCCCCCTGGGCTGGGAGGGGGATACAGACGAAAACCCACATAGGTGGACTGGAGAGGCAGCAGAGCAATGCTAGGCAGTTGTTCCCACGATGCTTGACTGCTCTAGATGAGATTGTTCTGCTGTGTTGAGGCCACAATGGAGTGGCTCCACCCACTCCTTCCCTTGGACCAGTTGCTCCCGGGCCACATAAGAGCCCTGGACGGGTCGGTCCTCACGTTTGACACCCCTGGGTTAGGGACTTGAGAAAGGGAAACACGGTGGATTTTTGGCAATAGCAATACAGCTGAAAAATTGTACTCAGAACATTTGGAGATGATAACTAGTCCTTGCTAGGAAATCATAGAGTCATAGAGTTGGAAGGGACCTCCAGGGTCATCTAGTCCAACCACCTGCACAAGGCAGGAAATTCACAAATACCTCCCCCTCCACACCCGCAGTGACTGCTGTTCCATGCCCAAAAGATGACAAAAAACCTCCAGGATTGCTTCCTGACCCCAAAGTGGCAATCAGCATTTCCCTGGGCGTGTAAAAAAGGGCCACAAGAACTAAGCCCGGAGGCAACCCTTCCTGCCCTCCCTCTCTTGATCTGCCTAAGTTCACAGAATCCACATTGCTGTCAGATGGCAATCTAGCCTCTGTTTGAAAACCTCCAAAGAAGGAGAGCCCATCACTTCCTGAGGAAGCCTGTTCCACTAAGGAATCGCTCTGTCAGGAAGTTCTTCCTAATGTTTAGCCGAAAACTCTTCTGATTTAATTTCAACTCGTCGGTTCTGGTCCAACCTTCTGGGGCAACAGAAAACAACTCAACACCATCCGCTAGATGACAGCCCTTTGAGTACTTGAAGATGGTTATCATATCACTTCTCAGTCGTCTCCTCTCCAGGCTAAACATACTCAGCTCCTTCAACCTTCCCTCATAGGACTTGGTCTCCAGACCCCTCACCATCTTTGTTACTCTCTGGACACCTTCCAGCTTGTCTATATCCTTCTTAAATTGTGGTGTCCAAAACTGAACACAATACTCTAGGTGAGGTCTAACCAGAGCAGAGTAAAGTGGTTCCAGATTTGTAACTAGTGATCTGGACACTATACTTCTGTTGATACAGCCCAATCACATCACACTGCTGACTCAAGTTCAGTGTATGGTCTACTAAGACCCCTGGATCCTTTTCGCACATACTATTGCCAAGACAAGTCTCCCCCAACCTATAATTATGCATTTGATTTTTCCTACCTAAATGCAGAACTTTACATTTATCCCCATTGAAATTCTTTATATTTCTTTTAGCCCAGTTTCCTAGCCTGTCAAGATCATCCTGTATCCTGACTCTGTCTTCTACCGTATTTGCTACCCCTCCCAATTTAGTATCATCTGCAAATTTAATAAGCATAAATTTAATAATAATAGCTAAAAGTTTTCACCGCAAACCACTTTATGTGATATACACTGGAGAAATATTAGTTGTTGTAGATTTTCCGGGCTGTATGGTCGTGGTCTTGGCATTGTACTATAATGCCAAGACCAATGGCCATACAGCCCGGAAAATCTACATAGCCAGTTGCAATTTATTGAATTCTGTAGAGATGTGCAAATCTGTGTTTTCAATAAGCAAGAATGCTTGGCTCCCTGCTGCACAAATAGGGTATAATCCAGAAGAACAAACTGTGCATGCACCAACACTGGGAACGTTTGTGGTGCTTTACCTCACAGCAAGATGATGTGCATGGTGAGTGATATGGGCAAATTCTTTCTACATGTTACAAGAAGCAATCAAAAGCAGAAGGCTGAGGGTTCTTGTCTCCTTTTCATAATGACTGAAAGTAATATTAATATACCAGAAGTTTTAGGAAAGGTTTGATGTCTCAAGAGAACTTAAAGATAAACCTCTTCATGGATACATATATTCTTTAAGCCTTTTCATGACTAGTACTTGCTCCTATCTACAGATTTTCTGAAAATTTATTGATAATGGACATTATAAAATTATATTATGAATAGAAAATATATTTATAATAGACCAGCATCTTAGAAAAGAGGACAGTTCCTACTATTAAGCATCTATTTAGCACAGCAGTGTAAAAAGTTCAGTGTAACACAGAGAACACAATTTTTGTATTAGACTTCTAATTTTTAACAGTGCAGTACAATGACAGTGTATTTTATTTAGCATGTTCAAGTGCTCTACTGAAATACACTAAGACAGGAAACATTCTTTCAATGAATTTTTATCAGGTGTATTCCTAAAACTTGTGATAAAATTGTAACTAAGCGAGAAGTGTATGGAAATCCTTCCATGGGACTTCTGACCTACAATGACTGTCTTTATCCAGTCAATCACCACTTACTTACTATATCCATAGAGTACAACATTGGCCTCAGAATAACTACTGTAATTAGTAGGCCAAACTGTGCTCTAGTGAAATGATGAAATTATTTGTGCATTGTAATCATAGATTTAACATAAATGGGAAAGGCAATAAAGAAAACCAGAATTAATTGAAGAGGGCAACATTTAAAAATTTGCCCAGTTTTTCCAAACAGAGAAGTCAAGAGTATATTTGAAAGAGGCTCAAATAGTTTCAAGTTAAAAAATTCAGGTTCAGGTTAAAAAGTGTTCTATTTTTGTTTTTCAAACCTTCCTATTCTACTTTTTGTCACTATTTACATTCTATTTTTTAAGCTCTAACCATACTCCTACCTAATAAAATATTATCCATGGGAAGAAAACCTATTACAACTCATAATACCCCATTGGAAATGTTTACTCCAAACCCCTCCTGTGGCTAACAGGGATTTCTTGGAACACAGTACCAACAATATAAACGACCAGATATGTGGAAAAGAACATCCAGTAAACACACAAAAAAGCCATATTTCCTATAGATTATAATTTGTTGATCTAACTTGGCCTACTAAAAAAATTAACAGACTTGCCTAAAGTTATTATGTATTACTCTCACAATGGAGTATAAAACTGGTGTTCTAACACATTTCCCAATGGTAAAGGTTGTCTTAAATGTCTTTATGTGACTGATCTGGTTTGCAGGAAAAGGTGGACTGGTATTTGAGACAGCTTTCAAAAACAAAGTTCAAAATAAGAACACTGATCTGCATGTGAATGCTTAACAGTGTATATCTGGCCAGTGACTTTCTTTTTCCCCCCTTGAGTCTCAGCAGCAATCAAAAGCTGTGTAGCGAGGAAGCTACTTTTTGTGCAGTGTTAATGAAGCATAGAATTAAGAGGGGAGGAAAAAAGTGAACCTCTGAATAAAGGACTGTTTGTTCGTACATGAAAACTGTGCAAATAAATAAGACACAAACTATCCACCGATTATTCTGGTGCAGAGTTCCATGGGTCCTGAGATATTCTTTCTAGATGATTCTCCCCCTTTTCGTTTTTTTCTGTTTTAAAAACAGGAGTGTGCACATGCACAGATGAATGCAAAATGCTGAAAATTAAGGAAGAACACTGTTTCTTTCCCCTCCTTTAATCCTACTTACAGGACTCTGCAGTATCTGGGTGACTCTCTTCCTTTGTTCCATCATGTTGAAGTCTTGCCTGAGGTCAGGAGACATGTTTCTTTCACGGATATAGTCAGGGTCATTTTCATTGATGCGGTCAAAATATCTCTCCTTGTGAGGCATGCTGGGAGGTGGAGGCGTTGTGATTACCCCCTGGCTTGTTTCAGCGCTCATACTTCAATCTGGATTACTCTCTTCACCTGGAACAATGAGAAGCCAGCACAGATTTAATGACATTAAAAAAACCCTTTAAAGAGTGCACAATCCTTTCCTAAAGGAGGGCAAAGGAAAAAAAAGAGGCACTCATAAATATTCCACACAGCACAATTGTAGATGGTTAAATTATAAATTATGCCTTATATGTTCTTAATGCAGTAACTGTAGGTTTGTATTGCATATATTCCAATCCCCCCCTATTTTTCATTTTTCCTGGGGAAAAACTCTTCCATGGCTTAAAAATTTCTCAAAATTTTCAATCTGTAGTACTAGGAGTGAGAGATTAAGATCTCCCTTTCCAATCCTCCAGAAGGCCCAAAGAGCTTGTGAACTTCAAAGCAACTGTTGATAGTCTGGAGCAGTAAAAGTTTCCCTCTTCAAAGTCAGCTGCAAAGAAAAAAAATTCTCACATCCCCTGAACAGAGGGGACCTGGGATTAGGAGGCAAGAAGATCAAATCAGTCAATCCTAAAAGAAATCAACCCTGATTGTTCCCTGGAAGGCCAGATAATGAAACTGAAGCTCAAATACTTTGGTCACCAAATGAGAAGGGAGCACTCACTGGAGAAGACCCTGATGCTGGGAAAGATTGAAGGTCAAAGAAGACGGGGACAGCAAAGGATGAGATGGTTAGACAGTGTCATAGATGCAACGAACAGGAAATTGAGCAAACTTCAGAGGACGGCGGAAGACAGGAAGGCCTGGTGGGATCTGGTCCATGGGGTCGCGAAGAGTCGGACTCGACTGTGCGACTGAACAACAAAGGAGGCAACCAAAAGACTCATGCCACACTGCTGCCTCTTTCTATAGTCCAGTGTGAAGTAAGGGGCTGACTCCCTTCCTCCATGTTCTCAGAGCATTCCAGAGTATTCAGACAACAGGAAGCTCAATAGTAGTTCACCTCTACCACATCTACCCAGTATAGACCCATGAAACTCTCCTGGGCAGTCAGGGGCCTTGTTTGATTCCAGCATACAATAGGAGGTAGACTGCTCTGCATTTCTTTGCAATAATTTTGCTAAGCACTTTGCAGATAAAATTCCTTGCAGTCATTCTGACGTGGACTCTAGATGAGCAGTGACAGGACTGGGTGGTCACAAGGTGTCTAGTTGGGGTGAATATCTTTCAGCTTGTCCAGTCTGAGGATGTGGATAGGTTTCAGAATTCCAAGAATCCTATCACCTGCTTGTTTGACTCTTTC